GAGATGAATCTGTTGACGAGTAAGATCTATTTCCATCTAGTCTGGCCAAGTCGACAATTCCCAGGCATACTGAATATTCACTTAGAAAACGATACATCACCCAACTTGAGGGCAATCTGTTTCTCATGTTGACCCAGTAACCATGGTGCTGGGGTCTTGGGGACCTGGTGAATGAATCTGCACCCTCCCACCTAGGAGCACAGACTGCTCCATGCGGCTTCTCTGTGCACGCACCAGGAGGGTCTCACCTGGAGGACCAGAAATATCAACTTGCACCACGGGAGGCATTTCACTTCCCCAAGTATGGTCCCTTGAGTTGTCTACAGTGAACCTGCACAGTCTAACTCTCGTTCATTTCTCAGTGATTTCTTCAACACTGACTTTCAGAGTAGGTTTGGATGCTTCACTGGAAAGAAAAGAAAATTGCATGCAGGCTCCCTCTAAGCCCGTCTATGTCCCCTTTTCCCTGTGGGGTTCAAAGCAGCATATGGCACAGAGAAGTTCCCTGTGTTAGGCTCAAAGCTAGAGGAAAAGGGGAAGAGAAGTAGAAGGTGCTGGTGACACCTTGACAGTGACCACAGGGCTTGAACATGCCCCTCTGTCATTTTCCCATCAGCCAGTGACTCCATTTCTCAGTGAAACCTCTCTTCTTCCCCTCAGTCCTCAGAGTCACCTCCTCATGATTCTCTATGTGGTTTCCCACCTTTTTCTTTCTTTCTTTTTTTTTTTTTTTTTTGCTCAGATGCTGTTGTTGCTGTTGTTGCAAGGCTCTGCTTTTCTGACTGTCTGTCAGGAAGGAGACAGGAAATTCTAGTCACCCTCTCTGCAGCTGCGCCGGTCCTCCTATCCTCCTGAAATGACGTAGGTGGGCTTTGGTGACAGGAGGTCAGGAACTGAGCCACAGGGAAGGTCAGGAAGATAGGTCAGTGTTTATGCCCGGGTTGGGCTGGGGATCCTGCTGAGGCCATTTGCTTTCTTCCTTTCTAGAGTGTTTCTCTTTCCGTTCCTCTTTTTATAATGCAGAGCAAAAGCATCCTGTTTTCAAAACATCTGACTGTTTTTGCCGCTGGGGCAACTCATGCTCTGAGGCCTGTTGAAAAGTGCAAGACGAGTCTTCTAATTCAGGAGGTGGTAAAAGTTGCAACCCAACAAGGAAGGAAGGCTTCTCAGGAGGGGGGTCTGTCCTTAAAGCAAACCCTGACAGTAGACCCACAGGGGCTGCTGCTGAAGTTTTCAAGTTTATCTTGACCAAAACCATTGCCTCTGGGCACTCCTGGTCAGTGTATTTTGCCTGGTTGTAATTCATGGTGAAAAGGAATGTATAATGCTAACCCACCTGCCAAGCATCTTTTTCCATAATTCTAGATTTCCATTTGGCCTGTGGCCAGCATAAAAGGATCAGGGAAATTTGGGCCTAGAAGAAGACAATGTTTAAATAATCAAGCAAGAATGTCCTGCTCTATCTCTCTAGACTCTAAAAGCACAGCTGGTAAAGCCAGTTAACAAACTTGGAGTCACTCAGTTCTCTTCAAAATATCAGAGGGTTAAGGTAAAAACAAACAGCAAAAGTCCCAGCAGATATAAATATGAAAAGAGGCTTGTTTTCCCTTCACTACAGTTCTCTTCCATTCACCTGTAGAGTAGCACATTTACCATAGCACAGCGGTAGGGCGTTTGCCTTGCACGCAGCCAACATGGCTGACCCGAGTTCGATTCCTCCGCCCCTCTCGGAGAGCCCGGCAAGCTACCGAGAGTATTTCGCCCGCACGGCAGAGCCCGGCAAGCTACCCGTGACGTATTCGATATGCCAAACACAGTAACAACAAAGTCTCCAATGGAGATGTTACTGGGCCCGCTCGAGCAAATCGACGAACAACGGGAGGGCCTTTACCTTTACCTTTACCTTACCACCTCCCAGACTGCCCCCCCTCCACACACACACACCAAGACATACACTAAACACTGTTTCTCATCACTGCATAAGTTCAGAAGTCGCACATAAAACTCATCAGTCACTTAATTAGTTCTGGGAACACATGATTTTTTTGCTAAGATTTTTTGGCTAAGATGATGTATGGTATTCCTGGTTATTGTTTATGGGTTTTTACTGCACCTCGGTGGTCCTGCTTGAATGGCTTACTTGCCTGATATTATTTCACCATCATAGCAACACTTTTTTTATCCCTCTTTTACAAACGACAGAGTTAGTAGGTAAGTTGGCCAAAATCAAGAGAAGAGTAAAATGAGGAGTCAGGATTTGAACTACCATCTTTTATCTCTCAAACCCACACTTTTTACCCACCCCTGTAGAGAACATCCATGCTCACTCCTAAATCAAATGGTGGTTGTCACAGTTTCTTTGCTCAGGGAGAAAAAGCCAGAGGCTAATAGGACTCCATCGTAAACCCTGACCATGGTGACGGTGATCTAATTTTTAAACAGTTGGATGGAATACTCCAATAATTGCGACAATAGAATGTAGTAAAAGCCCAGCTCTGGAAAACTCACTAATAACGCCCACGTCAATTTTTCTTCTTCCATTTTTTGGGGATTAGGCTAAGGACTGGGGGAGGTTGGTCACAAGAACATTCTCAGTACATCATCTGTATCAGGAGTTAAGTTTTAGTTGACGTAACTAACAGAAGAATTAAGACTGGAGGCAGAGGTGATTAGAACAAAGTAGATAGGGGCCAAGTTATAGTTCCACAGGTAGGGTACTTGTATTGCACACAGTTGAGCTGGATTTGATCCCTCACACTGTATCTGGTGCCTGAGCTACTCATGAATGATCCCTGAGCACAGAGGAAGGAGTAAGCCCTCAGCACAGATGGATATGGCCTTCCCAAACCAAACCATACCATACTATACCATACCAAACCAAACCAAACCAAACCAAACCCAAAACACAAAGTAGCTAAGTGAAAAGAGAGTTTTACAAATGGCCAGTGGGTGCTTACATTCTCACTCACAGAATAAATAAAATCATCTCCTTCCTGATAGATCTAGAAAAGCATTGAATGCCTTGCCTTGGACTTAAGTAACTGGCCTCAGCACTCTGGGTTAGCCCTTTCTTAAGGTTAGCCCATTCAACTTTCATTGCTTCCTGCACATAGCACCGTAAAGTAAAGCGGAAGCCCCAAGTGATTGGAATTCTCACCAGGACTTCCACATTCCCTCATCTTTGCGCCTTATTCATGATTCCACTGACCAGGGCATCATTTGTTAAAACATTTGCAAGACGGACATCTCATTTCTGAACTCCTGAGACAACTTCTGAGTATGCCTGGGAAACGTGCATACTCAAACTGAAAATGACAAACACCCAGCAAGTTAGCAACACTCAAAAGGAAAATGAATGGCTCTTAGTTTCTCAATGAATCTTCTCTCTCTTACCCTGGAATTAACTGCCTACTTTTAGGTTATGGACTCCAGGAGAAAGTCTAGCTGGGGCTCTCCAGGGACGAGCCTCCTCCTTCACTCTTACATACATATTGTCGGAGTGCCCTTGATCATGAGCTCTTTATACCCCCAAAGTAGGGGAAGCACATGTGAAAATGCTCCTATAGGAGTCCGGTGTGGTTTAGAGAAGTTACGCAAATTCCTCTCCTTGGGGAAGCAGTTGGTTGAGATTTACAACAGCCTGGAAAAACCCTGAATTTGGGCTTTAACTGCAAACTTCAGAGAAAATCCAGAATAGACTAAAAAATGACTTTTCTTGTCATTTCCAACTTGGAGCTGACGGGAAATCCTAGAAAAGGATGAATTTATGTCCTTTTTTTAATAAATAAACAAAAAGTAAGAGTACTCTATTCCCTTCCTCTAGGCTCTTCCTAGGAACACTTGTTTCCTTTGCTCAGATCCTTTGAGCAGGAGCCAACAGACCTTCTGTGGAAACGGATATGCTGAGCCCCAGGAATGAGGGAAGAGGAACATATACTCCAGTGAACCCCAAAGTTGGAAAGGAAGGTGTGGAGCTAAAATTTCTTTCCAGCCAGCTCCATGGACAGTAAGACAATACTGCAAGCAAGATGATAGGGGGTTCTGAAAATGTTTACTTTTGCGACTTCAGAGTTTACACACACAGATTTGTGGATAAGGAGTAAAATCCATAAATGTGAGTGAAAAAAATTCATCTTTTTCTATACGAGCATTCTCAAAAGAAAAAGGGAAAAACACAAACAAAAAGCAACAACTCTCCCTACATAAATTAGCACTCTAAATTCAGGTGTTAATTAAACAAATTGATATAATGATAGATAATTAAAGCTCTTCAACAGTAAGTTTTGTCTGCAGATGTAAATAAAACCATTTTTTTTTACAATAGGGGTAGAACTTAATTTCAAATGATCCTTCTTTGAAGATCAGTAAACTTCAACAAAAACTTTATCTTGTTGGAAGGCAAAGCGCAAGTCATTTTAATCAATACAGCCTGCCACAAAGGAATGTCCTAAAATTCATGCTGTCCTTCCAAGAAGAATTTAAAATTGGTAGAACGTAAGAGCCAACCATTCACGCCACTGAGGCATCGAGTTCATATCGTCGCCCAATTGAGCAGAGCCATCCACCTAACCTAGCTAATATCGCACCCTAAAGCATCAGCCTTATACATTTTACCTAATGGATTCACTCAGATTTCACATTTGCCATCATCGATCTCAAAAGATTTTCCTCTATCTCTAGTGAGTTTATATGTCATGAATTATCTCTCACTCAGAGCCATATTCCAAAGGACATCAGTAAGAAGGAAGTTGGGTAGCTGGGTGTGAAGGAGAGAGTTGAGTGGAGACTTGACACTTGGGACCCAAGCATCCAGACACAGGTCAAGTGTAGCACTTGCCACCAGCCTCTCAAAGCAAGCGGATCAACAAGGTCCGGGTTCAACCCGAGCTGGTGGTGGTGGTCCTGGAGCAAACTCCAGGGGGACCAAGACAAAAAAAACCAAAAAATAAAAAACCCAAACAAACAAACAACAACAACAAAAAAACGGTCCTTCTTCTTACCTTGTTCGAAGCCATCTCGCTGACCGAGCGGTAGGTCTGGATGGTCTCCAGCTGGTCTAAGCACCAGTCCAGTTCCTCCAGCGTCTCCATAGCTAACTTTTGGTAAGACTCTTCTGCAAACAAGCACACAGACATGTAGTTAGGCTGCAGCGGCGGTGGCAAGCTGTCCATAGCCGAGTCCCCGCTGCCGCTGCCGCCGCTGAGGGTGATCCCGGCGCTACTGAAGGTGGCCCCGAGCTCCTTCATTATTTGCACGCCGGCTCCTTCCTTCCAAGTTGTCTCCGGCGGGACAGCAAATCACCGCGGTGCTCGGCCTGCGGCGGCTCGTGCCAACTTTTCACCCCTCCCGCCGGGATGAGGTGTCTGTGATCTACCGAGAAACTTCCTCGGAGGAAGGAGGCGGGGGAAGCGGCTCTTTGCAGCTCATCTGCATACGTGGGTCCCCAAAACCCAGGGCAGAAGCCAGGCGCTTTCTCAAGGCTCACCACCGCCTTAGTCATCCCGGGGGCTCTTTGGGGTGCGTGATGTCATTTCTCAGTGTTTGCCGGCTCGAGGAGAAATGAAGCAAGCATTTTCTTGGGTTTGTTTTTCTCCTAAAAGGAACACAGTCGGGAGAATTTTGGGGTGTGTGTGTGTGTGTGTGTGTGTGTGTGTGTGTGTGTGTGTGTGTGATATGTGTTGTGTTGGGGGACAGTGTGTATGTGTGTGTGATAAGGGGCAGTATCTGTGTGTGTTGGGGGACAGTGTGTGTGTGTGTGTGTATGTGTGTGTGATGTGTTGTGTTGGGGGACAGTGTGTATGTGTGTGTGATAAGGGGCAGTATCTGTGTGTGTTGGGGGACTGTGTGTGTGTGTGTGTGTGTGTGTGTATGTGATGGGAACACAGTTCCTCGGAAGCCTGGGCAGCCTGTCATTCCCCGGGGAAAGGTGGAAATGTTGGAATCACTTTGTATCCAGCCAGCACTGACCCGAACAGAGGGGAAAGGCAGCCCTCTCTGGCCCTCGCCTCTCTCCTTGAGGGTTTCGGGAGAAGACTTCAGCCTTAGAGAAACTGTCTAAGAGTTTTACGAACACACGTTTATTGGCTTGGTTGTCAGCCGCTCTTATTCTACTAAACAAAGCTAAAACTTCGCTCTGCAGCTGCCAGGATCACAGGGAAATTCTGAACCGGACTTTCAGGTGGAGCCAGATGTGAATTTGCACGGGAACTGAAAGCCAGGTCTCAAGGAAGCTACACTTCCTGCAAAGATTTCTCAGGGGTCCGTACCACCAACCTCATTTGCAGAATTACATATATATATGTAATTCTGGTTGTTGTTGTGGTTGTTGTTGTTGCCTGAGAATAAAACTCTGCTACAGGGTTTGCAGCGTCATTCCATACTGAAAAGTCAGTCTAAACTATCACTTGAGGTCACCGACCTTTGGAGCCCTGTGTTCATGGAGTAAATGCTGGGTGAATTAATGATGTTGTTTCAGACCTCAGGCAAGTGTGTTCTTGACTGAGTTTGAAGGGCTCATGGTCCCCCAATGCAACCAAGCTATCTGGTCTGCAGGCAAACCATCGGAACTAAGAAAATGAAAACTTTTGGAGTGTTATTTTAGAAAGAAAAGACAGACAGTTCCCACCAGATTTTGAATACAATTCTTCATACCTGCCTAAGAAACAATGGGGAAGCTGCGGAACTTATTGTTATTACATAAACAACACCGTGTTGGGGACACTCTTGCTTAAAAAGTGAGCAAGGAATGCACCCAAGAGAGATCTCAAGTAACCAGAATCATTTGGTCACAGATGCACATTTCAAAGAACAGGCATTTGTTTTTCTCCCACCCCAATAAGCCGGTTAAAATTCAATATCCTGTATGTCATACTTGAAAAGCCACAAAAACCACTGGAGGTGAATGACAACCTCCATTTTTTTTCACCCTCCTGAGAAACGTGCAGACAAGAACAGAGGGGTGATTAGCAAAACTCCCTCCAAGCCAGACTTGCCTTTCCCTTCTCTCCCTTTTTTTTTTCATTTTTGGATCGCACCCAGCCATGCACAGGGGTTACTCGTGGCTCTGCACTCAGGAATTACTCCTGGCGGTGCTCAGGGGACAATATGGAATACTTGGAATTGAACCTGGGTTGGCCGCGTGCAAGGCAAAAGCCCTACCCACTGTGCTATCATTCCAAGACCCCTTTTCTCCCTTCTTAATCAAGTTTGCAATGTCCATTTCAAAAGGAAACTTTCTCTCACCGGTCTATCTGTAAAATCCAATCTCACTTACTCACTAGTCTAACTTCCTTCATTTTCTCTTACGAGAGTCTTCTTCCAAGAAGGCTGTCCCTGAAGTCACAAAACCTTCCTTTCCTCATTCCTAGCACATAATAGTAGTAATAACAATAATGATAACAACAACAACAACAACAACAATAATAATAGATCCAACTACATCCCAGCTATCTGGACTTTACCACCATGGCATCTATTACATTACCATGTGTGTTCATAGGAAGCAAGCTGCCATTCCCCAAGATGGCCAGGAACTGGCTCAAAGCCTTTGGAACAGGCAGATTCTGCACAGCGCCTGTAGGAGGCGCTATCACGTTTCTCCTTCAAGGAGGAAAAGGGATCCCGTTTTCACTCAGACTTGGCAAAAGGAACACAGTTATTGATAGAGCAGCAGGAGCCTGGAAAAGGAGCAGGACTTGTCAGAGCTCCACCAACTACTATCATGACATTCATCCAGGATCATCATCCAGAACAAGAGCAAAAGTGCTCCTAGAGTTGCCACAATAAAGAGATACCAGTGGGTATCAGAATCTTACTCTGCTGAGAGAACAAAAGGGAATGCCCTGCCACAGTGGCAGGGGGGGATGGGGGGGTGGGGGGGGAGGGATATTATCCTGGTGGTGGAAAATGGGCACTGGTGGAGGGATGGGTATTTGATCATGGTATGACCGAAATCCAAGCACAAAAATTTGTAAATCTACAACTGTACCTCATGGTGTTTCACTAATAAAAAAAAATTCAACACAGGTGGTTGCTACTGTTAAAAAAAAAAAGGTTGATTGAAGGAAAATATAAATAGCACCTGAATCTTTACAGAAGAACCTAACTGAATAAAAACAATCACAATAATTATGCAAAAAGTGAGAGAGATGGACAAGATCTTAGAAAAACTCTTATGAGTAGGAATAGTAGTCTTAGTACCAGGAACTTCTCTCCTCATTCTCTGGGAGGTCCCAACAAAAGAACACTGAAGGTCACTCTAGAAAGGGCTCTGTCTACCATCCCATGCTGCTCTCTTGAATAAATTTTATCCTGAGTCTCTGTTCTCGCTGCAAAAAAAAAAAGAGAGAGAATCTTACTCTGCTGCCTGCTCTTTTTCTGGTCAGTCACAAATTAATTTTCTTTTGCTGGAGAGAGGGAGGGAGAGTGGTGTTTCTTGGGACCACACCCAGTGGTGCTTAGGGGACAACTCCTGGCTCTGTGTTAGGAGTTGGTGGTGCTGGTGGATTGTATGTGGTACAAAGATTTAACCAGGATTGGCCATATGCAAGGTAAGTGCCTTAACCCCTGTACTATCTCTTTAGTTTTTGTTTGTTTGGTTGGTTTTTGTTTTCTTTGGGGGGTTGGGTCATACCCAGCAGTGCTCAGGAGCAGTTCCTGGCTCTATGCTCAGGAGTTATACCTAATGGTGCTTCGGAGATATATTGAACATTTGTACCAACATCACAGCCATCACAGCCACCACAGCCACATGCAAGGCAAGTGCATTACCTCCTAGAGTATCCTTTTGGCCTCCCTTTAAAAATTTTTATTGATCTAGGGGAGAGGTTAAACCATACCTAGGTGATGCTTGAGACACCGTAAGTGGTGTGAGAGCTTCCATTTGAACCCGGGTAAGTAGGATGCAAGGTAAGCACCTTACCTCCTGGACTTTCTTTCCTCCTTTTTAAAGCAAAACTATAATGGCTTGAAATTAATGAAGAGTTGGGACGTTTCAGATTCTTAATCTACAGTCAAGACTTCCTAGGTCCCATTTTTATTTTATCTTATTTGCTTTCATTGGAGGACACACCCAGATATGCCCAAGGGTTACTTCTGCCTCAGCACTCAAGACTCCTGGCAGTGCTCAAGGGACCAGATAGGATGCCAGGAATTGAACCTGGATCAGCTGCATGCAAGGCAAGGAACTTACCCTCTGTACTATCACCCCAGCAACTTCTTTGTGTCCATTTTAGAGCCCCATGCAGTTATTTAGGCAAGAGACATGAATATGAGTATGCTCTAAGACGGAAATGAACCTCCTGTCCCTTACTGGTGAGTCAGAGGAAAGGAGCGATGCTCTGCAGGTTTGGCCCGCACACTGCAGAGCTTTGTAGCACCAGTGGCAGAGCCAGTGCAGATGCTGGGTAAATACTCAGACGAATGGAAAGCAAAGTTCCTGCCAAGCAGTCAGCAAATCCTCGGGCACCTTTAGACTGAATGTTCCATCTGTGGCATCCCAGAAAGAGCAGCCCACATCGGAGGGAGATTCAGGTATTTTGACTCTTCTATCACTTATTTAGTGACCCTCAATCGTATGGACCTTAGAATCATAATGAGAATATTCATCACAGAATATTACAAACGGATGAGAAGAAATCAAGTGTTCACTCTGGCTAGTAAAGTAGTTAGTTCTTAGGAGGTGAATGGCTGACGCATAGGAGTCTAACTAAGGATGGCAATCAAATGAAGCAGTTATCTCACACTTGGGGGTGATAGGAATTACACAGAGGAATAGGAAGGGAAATAGAGACACAAGCTATTTGATGAGGGAATTTTCCTTGCAGGATCTATCAACAGTTTGCAGAGGGCGGAGCAAAATGAAAATGTGGGTCCCTGTTCAAAGGGCTGGGACGGCTGCTTGGGTGGTAGTGAGTTCAGGCTTCTAAGCGCAAGGTCCTGGGTTTGATCCCCAGCATTGCGTGACTGCCTCAGCATAACTGGGAATGTCCCTCCTCTGATCCTTAGACTCTAAAACGTGCTGCGGTTGGGGAGATAGCCCAAAGGGTTGGTGCATCTTCTTTGCATGCAGTTTAATCCCTGAGTTTAATCCCTGGCACTGTGTGTACACCCCAC